ATCACCGAGGTGTTGCTGGCGGTCAGACTCGATGGCATTCATGCTTTGGCACCAGGGCTTGTACTTCCTTTTGGGCTCAGCACCTCTGATATCTGACAACCAACCCTGCTCAGAGCATCTGGGCATCAAACAGGGCTTAGGAGAAGGCCAGGAGCCTCCTGCTGCATCACTCCAGTTCCAAGGAAAACAGCCCCAGCAATGTGAATACACCACAAAAAGTCTGCCGCAAACCATGCAAAGGGTTTTCATGACCTGTTTGGTTAAGATTCACGTCTCCACTTGAGCTTGGCCCCAGAGGTTTTGCAGCCTGCTCCTGCAGGCATCCCTCTTCTCCCTAACTTACGGGTTTAATAAAATGATTGTTTTCTCTGTTGCTTCCCTTTGTCTCCACTCCTGCTTTGCAGGATGCTGCTCTGATTCGTATTTGCTCTTGGTTTTGCTCCCTGCAGGGGGAACCTGGACTTCAGGGCATGCCAGGACGTGCAGGTTATCCCGGCTCGGATGGGTTTCCTGGCCTGGACGGCAAGCCCGGGCCCTCGGGGCTCCCAGGAGAGCAGGTGAGACAGGACTGTCAGGCAGGAGCGAGGACCGCGGCCCCTAGGTTAGAGCAATGGGAAGCTGGAATCCCGGCCCCAGAGCTTTACCTGTACCCAGGAGAGGGTATTGGAGCTGCTGCAGGGTCCTGATTCACTATTCCAGGCCTCTCCCAGCCCATCCTTCTCCTCACACCTTCTCCTCCCTTGACCCTTGCCCCAGCCCTTGCTAATGTACTGCTCTGGCTGTGTGTTTAAAGACGCTCCTGGTCTGGAGGCCTTTTGCTCAGTCTGCCAATGAAGAGCTGAAAAGGAGCCTCCTTTGCAGAGTCTCCTTTAACTAAAAGCCTCCAAACTGTGAGTGCTGTCAGGTTGAGCCACAGCTATTCCTGGATTCATGTTCCCCTAGAGAAAGGGCTGTAAAACCCAACAGTTGGTGTGGCTATCCCTTCCCTTATCCATGGCTATGCCTGAAGCGGGCTGGGAACCTGGGAATTTGGAGAGAGGCGGAAGGGAAAGGGACCAAAGCGCAGGTCTATACAGAAAGCTGACACCAACTCCATGTCCTTGGCAAGGAAGCAGGGATGGGCTCGGTGCTCTCTGGCTTTGGGAGCAGTCTGATGCTGGAAGGCATAAGGCTGGCTTTCACGTGGGCGAATTGAAGATCGCTTGGTGAAAGCTGAGGGAGGGGAAGATTGCAAGTAGGGGATGTGTGAAGCAAAAAGCACCTGGGACAGCACTTTGAGTGGCCTTGGGGAGCTGCCAGAGATGTTTTGCAGTAGAGGGTTTCATGGAAAGAGGCTGAGAAAAGATCTAGGTAAGCGTACTCACCCTTGTAGGCCCAGGAGGCCAGGAGTGCCCTTGGTCCGTATTGCGTGCAGCGATCCCTGGGCTGAAAGCATTCTCGGGACAGTTTCCCAGCTCGGTGCTGGGGAGCTGAGTGAAGCTGAGGTGCTGGTGGCTTTTGGGAGCAACTTCGGGAATCCGAAGCAGGGTGGCCCTGGGGAGAGGTTCCCGAGCGCCAGGGGGTGGGAAGTGGGGCTGAAGGCACCAGCCCTGAGCATCTCATCCACTCCCTCCTCCTCCTCCCTCCAGGGTCTGCAGGGATTTAAAGGTGACCGAGGACTGGCTGGAGAGAAGGGCGAAGAGGTAAGTTGGCCGTGGGGTCTCTGCTGCAGACAACAGGACAGGAGTGGGGGGAGTCCACTGGCACCCAGCAGTTTCAACAGAGCAGTTCATTTTTATGCTTTTTATTATTGTTATTATTTCTTTTTTCATTTTGCTCTGTCTCGCTTTTCAAGCATTAGGAGATTTTGACTGATAGATTAACTGGTCTTACTTTCAGTGCGGGATTTGAAGGGCTGTTAGCATAACACATCTGCAGTTCCTCACCTGGCTGCTCTTACAGCTGATTTAGCATCTAAAATGTCCATAAAAAAGCAAGTGCCAATGGTTTCTGTGACTAATTCTCCTCCCTGCTCTGTCCCGCTTCCAGCCCTTTTAATCCCCGAAGTGTTGCCTCCAATTTTTAGAGGTGCCCAAGAGATTTTGGGAGGAGGAATTATCAAACAGGGATATCTAAACTCCTGAACCATTTCAACATAGTTTCTTCCTTTAGAAGCAGAACTTCCCAGGGTGAGGCTTTTCCTTGGGTGCTGCCTCACTCAGAACACACTCGAGCCCTGTCCCATGCCACCAGCAGACCTTTGCGTCCCCTCGGATCTGTTCAAGCCACTTGATGCTCTAGTTGTGGCTCACGGGTCTATGCTGCTCCTGTTTCAGGGGTTTTTGGGTGACCCTGGACCCGCCGGGGAGAAAGGAGAGAAGGGATCAAAGGTGAGTGTGTCCATCCTCCCGCTCGGCAGCCTTGTCCGGAGTGACCAGGGAACGTTGTCCCCTGCTGTGTCCCCCGGCCGGCTCCTGCTGCCTGCACTGTGCTCTCTTCTCTGGCCACTCAGTCTGCTCTTTGCCTTCGCAGGGGGTGAAAGGAGATAACGGTCCTCCAGGTCCTGCCGGGGGGCAGGTGAGTTCACAGAATAGCACTGTGTGTCAGCCTTGATGTGCTGGGACTGCCCCTTCCCTTTCCCCGTGCCCCTTGTCCCTGCTCCCGGCTGCTTTCTGGCCATGGAGGAGGCAGGAGCACCCCATGCTGGGGCAGCGGCAGAAGCGGCCGTGGACCACGTTCAGTTCCTGCCTCTGGCACCTCGCTCCGCACTTCTCTCCTAGGGGATGGTGGGTCTGAAGGGCGCCGCCGGCTTCCAGGGCCCCGCCGGCCCCGAGGTGAGTGGCTCTGCAGTGTCCTGTGTCCTCCCCAAAGAGGCACAGTTGGAATCACCCGTTGGTCCCCTGGTGCCTCCCACCCATGCGATGTGATGCCAAAGACCCCCCGAGCCCTCTAGCACACCTTGCCTCATGATGTATATCCCTCCGAAGGGGATGAGGCCCAGGCTAGCAGCACCACGTTGGTTCCATGCAGCTCTAGGCATGCCAGGAGCTTGCCCGCTGCCAAGGCGTTAGGAGACATCCTGGTAAAGACCTGGCTCTGCAGAGGGGTTCAAAGGAAAATGGAAGGGCTTCCATCGTGGCTAATGGGAGCACATCCCAGCACAAAGTGGGGCGGCAAGAGGAAGGGGCTTGCCTGGGGCTCTACCAGCCACTGTGGGAGCCACGGCTCTGCTGGGGGACAATGGGCCCTTAGGAGGGACCTCAAGTGCTGATGTCTGATATGAACCAAAACTGGGATGTGAAGACAAGGAGGAGAGAACTGAAGCAAAATCAGCAACATTTCTCTCAAGTTGCTCTCTGCTTCTCCAGGGTGAAGGCGGCTCAGCGGGTCCCCCAGGCCCTCCTGGCCCCATGGTAAGTCCTGGCTTCTCCATGCAACCTGCCGGCCCCTGTGAGGGGGTTGCTTGCCCCTTAGAAGCCCTCGCTGTCCTGCTACAGGCCAGGCAGGCGCAAGGCTGCAGAGCCGAGCATCACCCTTGCCTTGCAGGGGGAGCCCGGCCAGCCGGGAGCCGTGGGCTGCCCAGGAGTGAACGGCTCACAGGTGGGTCTGTGCTGGCAGCATCCGCTCGCGCTGTACATGCTGGGGATGTCGCCCGGCTGCTGCGCTCACCCTGTCTGTCCTCTGCTCTCTCCATAGGGAGAAATGGGTCCTCCTGGCTTGCCGGGGCCTCGAGGTCCCAAGGTATGTTGTCACCATAGAATCATAGAATCATAGAATGCTTAGGGTTGGAAGGGACCTCTAGAGATCATCTAGTCCAACCCCCCTGCATACGCAGGGACACCTAAAGCACGTGGCGCAGGACTGCATCCAAGCGGGTTTTGAAGATCTCCAGAGAAGGAGACTCCACAACCTCTCTGGGCAGCCTGTTCCAGTGCTCTGTCACCCTCACTGTTAAGAAATTTTTCCTTAAGTTCCTATGGAATTTTTGATGTTTCAGTTTCCGGCCATTTCCTCTAGTCCTATCAGTGGCCACCACTGAAAAGAGACCATGACCGTCCTCTGCACTCCCTCCCTTGAGGTATTTATATACACTGATTAGGTCCCCTCTCAGCCTTCTCTTCTCCAGGCTGAACAGGCCCAGCTCCCTCAGCCTCTCCTCATAGGGCAGATGTTCCAGGCCCCTGATCATCCTTGTGGCCCTGCGCTGGACTCTCTCCAGCAGCTCCACATCCCTCTTGTACTGTGGAGCCCAGAACTGGACACAGTACTCCAGATGCGGCCTCACCAGGGCTGAGTAGAGGGGCAGGGTCCCCTCCCTCGACCTGCTAGAGATGCTCTTCTTAATGCAGCCCAGGATTCCATTGGCCTTCTTGGCCACGAGGGCACACTGCTGCCTCATGGTCAACTTATCATCCACCATGACACGCAGGTCTTTCTCTGCAGAGCTGCTCTCCAGAAGGTCGGTCCCCAGCCTGTACTGGTGTCTGGGGTTATTCCTCCCCAGGTGCAGGACCTTGCACTTGGCCTTGTTGAATTGCATGAGGTTTTTCACCGCCCAGTTGTCCAGTCTGTCCAGGTCCCTCTGGATGGCAGCGCAGCCCTCTGGGGTATCGGCTACTCCTCCCCGTTTCGTGTCATCAGCAAACTTGCTGAGGGAGCACTCTGTGCCTTCATCCAGGTCATTGATGAATAAATTGAACAGGACTGGACCAAGGACTGACCCCTGGGGGACCCCACTAGCCACAGGCCTCCAACTAGACTCTGCACCGCTGATCACCACTCTCTGGGCCCTGCCATCCAGCCAGTTCCTAATCCATCTCACTGTCCACTCATCTATCCCACACTTCCGGAGCTTGCCCAGGAGGATGTTGTGAGGGACGGTGTCAAAAGCCTTGGTGAAGTCGAGATAGACGACATCCACCGCTCTCCCCTCGTCTATCCAGCCGGTCATTTCATCATAGAAGGCTATCAGGTTAGTCAGGCAAGATTTCCCCTTGGTGAATCCATGCTGACTACTCTTGAGCACCTTCTTGTCCTCCATGTGCCTGGAGACAACGGCCAGTATGAGCCGTTCCATCACTTTTCCGGGGACGGAGGTGAGGCTGACTGGCCTGTAGTTGCCTGGGTCCTCCTTCTTGCCTTTTTTGAAGACTGGCGTGACATTGGCCTTCTTCCAGTCTTCCGGCACCTCCCCCGTTCTCCAGGATCTTTCAAAGATGATGGAGAGCGGCTTAGCTATGGCATCTGCCAGCTCCCGCAGCACTCTGGGGTGCATCCCATCAGGGCCCATGGATTTGTGGGTATCGAGGTTCCTTAGGTGCTCTCTGACCCAATCTTCCTCTACCCAGGGCAAGTCTTCCTCTCCACCCGCTTCTTCTCTTGTCTCTAGGGCCTGGGGCTCTAAAGGGCTGCCCTTGGTAAACACTGAAGCAAAGAAGGCATTGAGCAACTCTGCTTTTTCTGTGTTATTTGTAACCAAGGTGCCCATCCCGTCCTCCAGCGGACCCACGTTTTCCCTGATCTTCCTTTTGCTGTTAATGTATTTGAAGATTTTTTTTTTGTTATTTTTAACGTCCCTTGCCAGCTTGCCTTCCAGCCGTGCCTTAGCTTTCCTTGTCGCATCTCTGCACTCCCTGACTACGTTCCTGTATTTCTCCCAGGGGGCCTGTCCTTTTTTCCACATTCTGTATACCGCTGCCTTCTGCTTGAGCATTGCCACAAGCTCCCGGCTCATCCACGCAGGTCGCCTGCCGCCTCTGCCTCCCTTCCTACACACAGGGATGCACTGCTGCTGGGCGTGGAGGAAGTGCCGCTTGAAAACTAACCAGCTCTCTTGGGCCCCCCTGCCTTGTAGAGCACTAGCCCATGGGATTCTACCGAGGAGGTCTCTGAAGAGGCGAGACCATGCTGGCCTCGAGCAAACCTTGCAGCGAGGGTTGAGATTTAGAGGGCCTGGTGCCAGCATGGAGGATATTAGCACCACGGCATCACTGGGAGAAGAGGGAGGAGATGGAACATCTAACCCTGTGCCCCGAAATGCTGAGACAGGGGTGCAAAGCCCTTCTGTACCAGGAGATGGACCTCTGTGTGTGGGGACAAGGAGGTCCCCTCTCAGCTCAGCCCATGGGAACTCGACCTCCAGGTGCCAGCTCCAAATTAGTCAGGGCTGGGATCTCTCCCCTTCCTCTGTTTCTGAAAAGTGGCATTTCCAAAGGAGAGAACATTCCTCCAGGAAATCCCTAGTGCAAACTGTGGGGTTTGCAGGATGTTTGCCTTGATTTAATTGTAATTATGGGTCTTCATCCTTCCCTGTTTTTGCAGGGACCTCAGGGCTTGCAGGGACAACGAGGACTCCCTGGCCAGAGGGGCATACAGGTAAGGGCTACTCGGGTCCTGTCATGGCTTAGAGACCATGGAATTTCCAAGGTCCTGGGTGCAGCTCTGGCACCTGCTGGAGCTGCTGCCCCTTGTCCTGTTGCACCTTCCAAATGTGCATGAAGGCCTTGACTCCACAAGTCTTTACAACACTTTTGATGAGTGTTGGGAATACGTGTGAAGGCCCCTGTCCTCATGAGCAGGATGTTGAGGGGAGTCGAATGCTCTGAGTGGGATTTCAGCTGACAAAATCACAATCGCAATCTGCAATTGCGCTGCCCCAGCACACTTGGCTTTGCGAGTTGTCGATGGAGATACAACCCCTGTAGCCCATGGGGTCTTGGGGCATGGCCGTCCCCTCTTTGAGTCTGCGTCTTGGAAAACTGTACACGAAAAGTGCCCATTTCAAGCTGAGCATCGCTAGATGCGTGTCCCAGCCTGCAGAGCCCGCGTCCTAGACTGGGCGATGTGCCACTCTCCCCTCTTCCAAATTATTAACTCCTTTGCTTTTCTTATCCACTCCAGGGTGCAACTGGGATAGAAGGATCCTCTGGTCCAAAAGGAGGCATTGTAAGAGCTTCTTACCAATGTACTTTTCTAAGCACTGCTAAACCCTCCTCCTCATCCTTCCTCTGCCATTAATGCAGTCGCATGCATGCCCCAGGCTAAGCCCCTTGCTCTAGTATCTCATATCTTTACCCCTGAATTTTGTAACTTCATCCCTTAAAGGAGCAGTCTGCTGCTTAGACTGGGTGAACTCCAGCAGGGGACAGCCTGGCTCCCTTAGGCTATGCTGGGAGCAGGGTTTTCTTTGGTCTCTGTTGGGGATGAAATGCAAACTCAAGGGCTGTCCTGCCAGGAGACCTCTGTCCCTTGGGTGTCTATCCAGAGGGGATGGGGAAAACTGCTTGCTGCTGGTTTTAGGGGAAGAGATGGGCTCTGTTTGTAGAAGGCCTTGCAAAAGAGGCCTGGAGGGCTTTGGCAGCCCCAGGGGCAGGAGGTGGCTGAGCTGTGTGGCCTGCTGGCAGGAAGAGACAGTGGATGTCCCTGGGTTGCTGCGGAGCATCCTGTCTGATGGAAACTGTGCTCTGGAAATGGCAATTCTCATTGCTCCCCCCCTCCACTTCATAATCCTCTGCAAGCCAAAGGGAGGAAAAGAAGCTAATATATGTTATTAAAACAAGGAACAGTTTTGAGCCTACAAAGCGGGAAGCCCAGCAGTGTGGGTGATGCTCCTCAGCCAAGGGCCGGTCAAGTTTATACAAGAGGGCAGCAATGCCCTGCAGGGGCCCTGTTTGCAGCCCAGCCTCATGGCTGTGGCCAGAACCTCCTCCAGGGCTGCTGGTCTTGCCCCGCATCAGCCTGTTGCCCTCATCCTGCTCGAAGGCTCTGCTGCTGCCAGGGTGTTGCAGAGCCAGTCCCGCCAGCACAGGGTCTGCTGGTTGGGGACGTCAGCGCAGGAATAGCTGTGCAGGAAGCGAACCGAGCTCTGCTTGTGTTGCAGGGAGTGGACGGTGCCCCTGGACTGCGAGGCCAGCCGGGACAGGAAGGCCCCGGGGTAAGTGGCAGGGAGCCCCACGCGCCATCTCCTCCAGGACCCAAAGTCTGTCACTGCAGGGACCCCTGTCCTCCTGCTGCTGCCCAGGGCATCCCAAGAAGAGCCATCCCATCCTGATTGCTGAAGCTAGCTTTATTTTTCATACTAATTTTCCAGCAGAGATGTCCATGCCCCAGTTCAGTCATCACCTCGCATCCTTAGTGCACAATTAGGTGCCGTTTTCCCAAGCACTTTGTGCCAAGCTGCCTTCTTCCAAAGGGTCGTGTGCCCTGCAGGGCAACCAGAGCCGCATCCCTTCCTCCTGCTGGAGGAACACCTGGGAGCATCCTGTCTTGTGCCTGCTCAGGTCGTGCTCCTGGGCCACACTCTGATGATGTCCTGGTGTTAGCTGGTCCCTTGGGGCATCTGCTTCTTGTGTATTCACGCCTCGGGGTGCAGAGATGGAGCTAAAGCACCTGATCCCTCTGGCTGTGAGGGATTACAGCAACGACTCTCTGGAATTGAACGGGTGTCCCAGATTTATTTATGTCATTCCTGCCCTTTTAGCACCAGACTCTTGTAGGCCTCTGTGAGTGCACGTGTTGTTTTGCTCCCCCTTTTTTTTAACCTTTAAAAACCTTTTGTTTTGTGTCTCTCTTTGAAGGGGTTTATTGGCCTGCCAGGTTCAAAAGGCATCCGAGGAGAGCGGGTGAGTCACGGTGCCCATGGCACACAAGCTGTTGCTAGGGCTCAGCGGTGCAGGAAAGCTGTGTTGGAGTAGCCAAGGAAAGACCGTGAGCCTCATGCCTTTGGACTCATTGACAGTCAAATAGGTGATTTTTACTCCTACAGGGTTTTGAAGGTCCAAGTGGAGCAAAAGGTGACCTGGGAGCCAAAGGAGAAAAGGTATGAGGTTAAGATAAGGGATGTTCTCCAAGGGGGTTGCTCAGAGGTGACAAGAGTGACCCTGTGCCGAGACCCATGGCAGCGAGCAATGGGCTCTGCAGAAGGGAGCTGCTGCCCAGGGGGCCGGGAGCGGGGCTGGTGTCCCCAGCACCACTTGTCCCTTGTGCCTGGCTGCTGCATGAGGATGTGCTGCCAGCCCTGCAGTGACGTGCCACGTTCTGTTCTTCCTAGGGCACCCATGGCCCGCAAGGAGCCCAAGGGCTCCCAGGAGCCCGCGGGCAGCTCGGTGCACAAGGCTTTGCAGGCCCCCGCGGGGCAGCTGGGCCGCGGGGAGCAGAGGTGAGGCAGCGCCGTGCCCAGGGTCGCGGGAGGGGGTCCTGCGCGGGGACACACGAGGGCTCTGTGTCACCTGGGGGGCTCAGGGTACGTCGCTGTGCCCCAGCGTGGGTCTGCGTGCTGAGCTGTGGGGGTGTCCCCTAAACCCCTGCTCTTCCCCCCATGCTGCTCCATCCCTGTTCCTTTCACTGTTCCCCACAAGGCCTCCCGCTCTGCTCCACGTGCTGGGCGAATCCCAGCCCAAAGCCCCGTGCTGGATCCTGCGGACTAAGAGAGCCCTCTAACGGTGCCTGTCTCTGTGCCGGGCAGCGCGGCGACTTCCCTCCTCTGCCCAAGCCACTCTCTGTAACCCTGTAACCTCGGCCAGTGTCCCCATCGGTGACCTGAAATCAGCCAGTGCTCCCAACTGTGCAGTGAGAGGGGAACCTTGGCAGATGCCCAAAGGGCAGATGTGGGGTTGGATTTCCCTGGGCAAGGGCAGCTTGCCGTGGGTGTCACTTCCCTAATGTTCTTGCAGGGCCTGTGTGGAGTCTCCACTTTGGATCAGCGCTGGTCTCTGTTTTGCAGGTGTTTTGAGACTGCAAAGCATTAAAAAAAATGCTTTTTTGACCTGAGCATCTCAGGCTCCGGGTGAGCTCTGCCTCCTGCAACTCTTGCTAGCCAGTACAGAGAGTTGCAATTGCTCTGGCAGCTCCAACCTGCCACCTCTTCCCTGCAGTGGAACCTGGCACCCCTTTTCCCTCGTGCAGAGCGAGCTGTCAGGTTGGACAAACACAGCCACAGATCAGTGTTTCTGCCTGAGGAGTGAGTCCTCTCTCACTGCTCATCTCGAGAGGTTTCTGGCCTCCAAGGAAAAGGGATGACATCTTCCTGCTTTCTCAGGGTATAGGATCCCCCCCCTTTGCAGGGTTTGAGGATGCCCACTCGGAGCTGTTACTGCGTTCACTCTTCAGGCTGATGAGCAGATCTACGCACCAGGATTGCAGCACGACTCCTCCTGGTGCCTCTCACACCTTGCCAAGCAGCACTGACACGTTGGATTGCTCCTACTTCTATGAGAGCTTTGCACTCCCCCACCACCCATGATCTGAATGAGCAGCGCTTGCTGGGAACGAGCGTGGGGCTGCTGCCCGACGCGCTGGGGACACTGGGTGACTGTGCCTAGCACACGCGAACTCCAGAGGGGTGACACGTTCCTCTGGCCTACTCTCCTCTCCTCTCTCCTCCCAGGGCGAAGAAGGCCAGATCGGCCCAGCTGGTCTCAACAGCAGTGAAGGGCCCAAGGTCAGTGCAGGCGTTTGCTGCGTGTCCCCCGGGGACCTCCTGGCACCACCGCAGAGCCCTTGAGGGTGCCCTTTGGTGTGGGAAGGTGGCCATGTTGACCCCAGCTCTGGTGGCCTCCATCCCACCCAGGCGGGGGTCATGCTGCGGCCCAGAGAGCAGCAGCCCCGTGTTCAGGCTGAACTGGCCCCATCTTCTGCACGAGTCCCCTTTGGAGGTCGTGACAGCTCACCTGAGTGCAGGGGCTGGCAAGACCGCCAGGGATGTCTAAAATGACTGGATTTTCCTCTGTGTGACGTTTATTAGGGAAGCCGAGGACCAGATGGCCTCAAGGGAAGCCCGGGACTGCGAGGAACCAGGGTAACTCATGGAGCTGTTGGTTACTCTTAGCTGCATCTTGGAGCTCCTTAGGCCTTGGAGATGAAAGCAGGCCTTAGAGGAGCCCTGTGGGCACATGGGCAAGGAGGGGGCACGCGAGTGGCCGTGGCCAGGCCTGCCTGCGGGTTGATCGGTGACTCCAAAGACCGGGAGAACTTCCTCTGCCCTGCTGGTGTCACCATGCCCAGGGGGATCACGAGCCCATGTATCTAAAGGCCTTCAGCACTTAGAACTTGCAGCAATCTTTCCCAAAACTAGCTCGGACCATGGGAAAGCCTCTGAATGCACGGCTTTGCTGCTGACGGAAGGATGCTTTCCATGATACTTGCTTTCTTCCAGGGCCGCACAGGGCAGCGGGGACTGGCTGGAGTTCCGGGCCTGCCAGTAAGTAAGAGACGGTCCCGTCCAGACCGCCACGCTTGTGTGTCGCGTTTAGCAGACAAGGGAGCAAACTCTTGAGTTTGGGAAATCGGGTGTCTTATGATCAGCTTCCTCTAGAAACTTCCATTATGCAGAATTTCCTGGCAAGGGAGATGCAATTAATAGTGGGGGTGAGCAGAGATCCCAGAAGGAAACGCTGTTGAGACGCTCAGTCCTGCAGAGCCGTGCCAAGGGTTTCCATCCACCCTCATTTTCTTTCCCAGTGACAGAGGGAAGGAGTGGGGAGAGGCTGCTTGGGACAGGTGCCTAGAGGGGCACGGCTCGGAGATGAGGCGTGTGCGACCGCACCGGCCGCCCGGCCTCGTGCAGCCCTTCCCGTCGCCGTCTGGGGACTGTCAGTTTGTGAGCGTCGTTGGTGGCTTTTGCAAGCCCGGGTTGGGTGTGAGGAGCCGCACGGCCCACCAGTATGGAGACCTCAGCCACGTGCGACGGGAAAGGAGGAGGAATAGGCTCCTGAGGTGCTGATTGCATCCATCCTCCTTTGCTTTTCACGCCGCAAAAAAGCACGCTTTGTGCAAAACCTTCTGCTCTGCTACACTTAAACTGGTTGTGGAACAAAGCTTGGGCATCCTCCTATGCCAAGACCCCTCCTGCGTGCTCTAAATTCCTCCTGGGAGGCTGAAGTGCCGGCTCCAGCCCGGCCGGGGCAGTGTTTAGCTACGCTGTGGCTCTCCTCGCTGCAGGAAGGATCGGGCTGAGGTTTACATGCACTCCCAGGCCAAGGGCTGCGGAGAAGCCTGCCAAGGGCTGTTCAATACCAAGGAACAGCCACTGGCTTAGAAAGCCCCAGAGGCTCCTATAGACTAGAGGAGCATGCTAGAGATGCCAGTGCTTTGTGCTGGCCATGTGTTAATGCTCATGGCAGGGCTTGCTCGTGGCTGCTGGCAGAGAGGGCTCCTGGGCTGGCCGAGTCCGTGGTGAGTGAGCGGGTGGCTGTTGTCCGTCACGCTCCTCTCACCTGACGTGACGATCTGCTTCGCAGGGCTCGCAAGGTGCTCCGGGAGCAGAAGGCCCCGAAGGAAAGCTTGGTACACAGGTTCCCATTCCTACTCTGTACTTCAACGTCGGGCCGCTGCGCGAGGGTTGGGGCTGTGGGCGAACGCCGCTCATGACGCGGGCTGCCCCGCAACGCGGCACGGCCATGGGGCTGCCCTTGGAGAGGTGGAGCCAAGCCAGGCTCGGACGCTCCTTCATGCTTTGGGGATGACCCAACCTGGGCCATGGCTGGTCAACCATGGCCAGCTCTGTGTGACACTAAGAGCACAATCCATCCAGGATGAGATGAACCATTTATCTCCCCTGACTTTTGGGGGGGGTCCAGCTTTGCCAGAGCTTGCTCTGTGCTCGTTCCTGTGCCTTGCCTGCACATCTGTAGCTGTAGCCCTGGATTTGGGACTGGAAAAGGCTGGATCTTCCTCCTGGTCTTACTTGCTGCCTGCCTTATCCTGCAGGGTCTCCCAGGAGCTGGGGGCAGCCCAGGCAGAAGGGGACCGCCCGTGAGTAGAGCCGCACGCGTGTCCCTCAGAAACCCTCCCCGGCCACAGGGCAGTGGTGGTGGGGCCACAGAAAGCCCCTCAGAGCCAGACCCCCGTAGCCTTTTGGGGAGCTCCGCTTTGCATTGCCAGGACAGGATTCAAGGGAGCTCTTTGGGCAACTTCTCCCCCAGTTGTGCTGAGCTCCTGTTGCCTTTGGGTCTTCTTGGTGCCCCAGTTTGATCTTGGAGGCTGGATTATTAGCAGGTAATGCCTCAGGGGGTGGCAGCAGGTCTGACCAGCGGGCTGCAGAGATCACCCCTTCCTCTTCGTTGCTGCTCCTCTGCCTCGAACCAGCCAAAATGAGAAGTGTTTCTGCTCCGGGTCTCTGACTTTGCTGTTGGAGGTGCATGGTGCCCAACTCTCTAGATGCGCATGTGGGCGTTGTATAAATGTTTACATGCTGCTGATGTGCTTCAACAACAAGAAATCAAAGAGAGAGGGTTTGAAGTGGAAAATGCTGGTTGCATTTTCCAAAGCAAATGTGCTGTTTGCTTTGGACTCAGCCATGACGCTCTGCTCCGTTTTGGGTTGGCCTCTGACCAGGTGCCGACAGCAGTGAGTGTCTTGCCTCTCCCACAGCTCTGCCTTTTCTCTTGCCCTGATGGTATCCCCTGGGCCTGCTCCTGTCCTGCTCTTCCCCTTGATCTGCTGCCCTCTCCTGCAGGGTTTTGCTGGCGCGCAAGGTGACAGAGGCCACAGTGGGCTCCCTGGCCACATGGTAAGGAAAATTGTCTTTTGTGTTAACTCTCCCTTTACTGTAGAGTTGGGGAGAGTCAGTGGGTGTCCAGGCAGGTGCTGACTATTGTGCTGGACTGGTGCTGATGTCCCAGCAGGGATAAGGACTTGCAGGGCACCAGAGCAATGGATAGGAGCTGCCTGAAGGTCCCCTGCCCAAGAGCTGGGCGCCTGTGGGACACAGTGAATAGTTGCTGGTCCTGGGTCTGCACTCCCCAGATTTCAGGCCACCTCAAGACATATGGGCTGAATGAGCTGGCCCAAGGCTGTCCCATCCCATCTCACAAGTCCCTGAATACCCTATTAGCTGTTTTGTCTGGCACATTGTCACCCTGCTTGGTGACAGCACTGCTTGAGAGCCAACCATGTGCAGACACTGCCAGGACAGGCCACAGCAGCAGAATTTGTCCCCAGCAACTCAGTTTGGACCAGGTGATGCCTCTGCTTGGGCAGGGAGGTCTCAGCGGTGGCTCGGTAGGTCTTTTCTCCTTGCAGCCTTTTGACTAAAGCCTCCTCCCAAAACATTTCTGAAGGGCCCTCCAGGAAGACCAGGAGCTGATGGAGACCCGGGCTCACTGGGTGCAAAGGTGAGAGTGGGGAGCGAGGCTGGCTGGGCTGGCTGGAGCACAACTCCACAGCAGGTTGCAGCCACCCCTGAGCGTGGTGGACACCGCAAGGCTTTTCATGGAAGCCTGGGATCATCTCGTGGATTTGGAGGTGGATACAGGGCAGGAAAAGGTCCTTGTGCACCATGGGGTGGAGATCTCTGAGCTGTTCATGCCATGGGCAGCACCCAAATCCCCAGAGACTGCTCTGCTAAGCCCTAGGGCCACCTGTGGTTTCCTGTAGAGCGGGGACTGAGCAGCACATCCATGTCCCTGGAGAAGGGATACATTAGTGCACATCTCTCCTGGCAGGGTCTACCGGGAAAGCCTGGCTTGGAAGGACCGCAAGGACCTGTCGGCATGTATGTAAGTGACAGGCAGTATGTAAGGCAGTATGTAAGTGATGGCCATACCTGCTTAGCAAGGGACACTGCAGCTGGCCCGAGCGCTGGGGAGAGGCGGAGAGGGGACGTGGAGGTGTCAGCCAGGGCCCTTGTGGTGCTGTAAGCCCTTCTGCAGCACCCCAGTGCTGCCCTGGCCTGGCAGCTGGGGCTCTCCGAGGTATGTCCCAGCTCCAGCCTGGATGAGCACAACTTTGGGGCCGGCATTTCCAGTCTCATCCTGATGTATCCTGCTGGGATTGTGGGGCGCATTTTCCAAGTCCTCCTGCCTCAGTGGAGAAGGTGTGGAGCCAGGGAGCGGGGACACGAGCTATGCTTTGTATTACTGGTGAAGGAGGGAAACTGCCATGAGCACAAGACCTTTCCATGTAAAATGAAGTAAGATTAACTTTGGGTAAGAATGATGACAGAGCCAAAGCAACTGAGTTTATGAAGCCCCGATCCCTAGAGAGGACTGAACCTCAGCAATCTCCTTATCCCATAACCTGGATGTACCATAACCTGTATCCTGTAACCTGGATGCGTCTCTGCTGACCCAACAACATGGTGCTCTCCCCAGGGCTACCCAGGACCTGTTGGTGACAGAGGGAAACCAGGACCCAGGGGAGAAAAGGTAGGATGGGGAAACCCAGCAAGAGAAGCAGCCCAGGGCAGCCGGCCAGGCAGCTCGTGCTCCCAGCCGGGTGCTGGACGTGCCACGGAGTGCTGAGCTGTGCCGGCCGGGCAGGGGGGACTGTGCAGCCAGCCCGGCTCTGCAGCTTTTGCAACCATGTGCTCTCGGTCTGGGGCTTT